TAGTAGTAGTAGTAGTAGTAGTAGTAGTAGTAGACAGTGTCCCGTTTTTTGCGATGTGTATGCCAGCCTCGCTGAAAAAGCTACTGTTTAAGTGAACTGTTTAAGTAATCAGGCTATTTAATAATAGTAGTTGGGCATAGCAGTTGCGGTTTGTAGTTAGAAATAGAGGTTTTCATTGACAAAAGACCCGATTTTTCAGTTCAAGGATGGAGGTTTTGGAAAATTTCCTGCTTATATTTATAATCGTTGACAGTACAATGCACGAAGTCAGCAGGTTTTGTTCTGCGGATATTACATAGCAAACATAATTTCTTGGATATTCGGTAACCTCTGATTTCGCCAAATCCTTCCTGTTTTCCTTCAATAAGGAAGATTGAAACTACATGTTTCTGTACGTTTAGGCTTCCTGATCCTAAAATCAAAGTACCTTCCTGATCAACTAATCAAAGTAGAAAGAAAAGCGGAAAATTCCCAAGAATTGGAAATCGGGCAAACTAGGTAAACCTAAGTTTTACATCTAGAGGAAGTATGTTCATGCAAAAAACGAGTGAATAAAACCACGTAAGTAGAAGTTCGTTGGAAAATAACCGTTTTGTAAAATCTTCGGATACACATGCTTCCATATTATTTTCGGTGTAACGTAGGGCTGTAACCGAATAACCCAAAGTTGAAGTATGTATTCCGACATGTTTTCACGAGAATAGCTAGTCATCTCTTCAGTTTATAAATTGCTGGATTTACGGTGATCCAAGCCAACCAGATTTCAGCTTGATTGCGCCGATTGGAAGGTCACAGTTGCGGTTTGTGGTTAGAAGTAGAAGTTTTCATTGACTTGCGATCCGACTTTTTGGTTTAAGGGTGGATTTCGGAAAATGTCCTGCCTATATTAATCATCTTTACATATTACATAGGAAATATAATTTCTTGGATATTCGGTAACCTCTGATTTCGCCCAAATCTTGCCTGTTTTCCTTTAGTATAAAGAACTCGTATGCAGTTTTCTTTAATGAAACGTTTTCGCGCCCCAAATGTAAATTACGCACCCAAATTTTGATTCTGACATTTCCTGATTTAGCGCATTTACTATGGAGAGGACAGAGAGATAATGTTTTATTTTGAAGGCAATATCCAAGATGTTCAGCAAATATGGTTCCATTCACGGAGAGCAAGGGATAAGTTAAGGTAAAGGGCCATGGTAAAAGGTCATAGAATATTCAAATTTAAATGTTTACACGATATCCACATCTGTTATGGGGACAGGTTGGCTTTCAACTTTTCAATTTCCATCTCTTCATGCACGGCAAGACATATGACGGAAGCTTCGGTGCATAGTACGGGCAGACTTTGCAGCCATTATGTCAGAGTGGAGTGGATGAACGCCCCACTAAGTATGCGATCAGCAAATTGCTTGACCGTTTTAAAGTGTCGCTGTATTATAATGTCAGTAAAAACAGCATAGGGAACACCGGCAGCTGAAGAGAGCATTCGGAGGATACGTTTAAAAATGACCAGGTATTTTTTAACCAACGCTGGAAAAAGAACTCGAGAACAGTAAAGAATGATGGGGAGAATGCAAGCATCTATAAATCGCCAGATTAGGGCTAGTGGTGTACGATATGAACGCAAGCGGCGGATATAATGTAAAAGCTTGCGGATTTGGGGAAAGAAGCAATCACCTGAGCACAAGTGTTAGGACGACCGAGTCATAACTCGGGCTGTCCTGAGGACGCGAGAACAAAGGACTCGAGCAGGCTACCAATGCATGCAGAGCGGTCAAAGAGAGCGACCTTCAAAGGCCGACACCCGAGGACGCAAGAACAGCCACCGGCCAGGTTC